CAACCTCCAACTCCTGGGCTTAGTCAATTCTCTTACCTCAGCCTCCCAAGTAGTGGGACCACAAGCACCCGCCATAACACTCGGCTATTTTTTGTTGCAGTTTGGCCAGGGAGGGTTCAAACTTGCCACCCTCGGTACATGGGGCCAGGGCCCTACCCAGTGAGCCACAGGCACTGTCCAGCCCCCAAATGTCTGAACTAGATCTAGCATCAGCTTTTAAAGTCTAAGTCTCAACTAAATATCATCTAAATCAGATTTGGGTTTGGCTCAAAGTATGATTCATCCTGAGCCATATCCCTCTTCTAGTGGTGGGCCTGTGAAATCAAATTATGTGGGCGGTACCCATAGCTCAGTGGGTAAGGCGCCGGCCACATACACCCAGGCAGGAGGGTTCAAACCCAGCCTGGGCCAACTAAACAGCAATGACAACTGCAACAACAACAACAACAAAAATAGCCGGGCATTATGGCAGGTGCCTGTAATCCCAGAGACTTGGGAGGCTCAGGCAAGAGAGTCATTGCTTAAGCCCAAGAGTTTGAGGTTGCTGTGGGCTGTGATGCCATGGCACTGTACTGAGGGTGACACAGACTCTGTCTCAAAAAAAAAAAGCAAGTTACCTGCTTCCAAATACAACGGTGAAACTGGCATAAGATGTGTTCCCATTTCAAGAAGGGGAAACAGGAAAGAAGAAAGGGCTAACAGTCCCAACCAAGTCCAAGGGGACAAACATTAAATCTTAATGCTCCCAAATAATCTTTTTTTACTCCATGTTCCACCTTTCAGACACACTGAGGCTGGGGTTGGGCCCCCACAGCTTTCTTGGGTGCAGCCAACACAGCAGTGCTCATGTGTCAAAGTCATAATGGATTCTTGCGACTCAGCCAGGCTGAAGTTATTCGATATGGCTCTATAGCTCTGGGGTCTCCGGGCTGGCCCTGCTCCCACAACTCCACTAGACATTACTCCAGTGGGGTTCCTTTTGGTGGCCTCACCCCTGCAACTATGCTGGGCACTGCCCTAGTGGGGACTCTCCGGGTTTTTTTCTTCTTCTTAGTGGGGACTCTCTGCAGTGGTCCAGCCCTTGTAGTCAGCTCTCTGCCTGAACCCTGGGGTCTCTGAGGTATCCTTTGAGATGTAGGTGGAGGCAGCCATGCACTCACAGCTCTGCACACCCATGGAGATGGCATTGTGCAATGCTGCCAAGTTTTACTGACAATGTCCTCTGAAGTGGCAGTCTGAGCTGCATCTGGACCTGTTGAGCCTCAGCTGTTGTGCCTAAGAAGCACTGCATTGGTAAATATGAAGCAGAAACTTGAGGCAGCCCTGGGCAGTGAGCCCTGAGGCCCCATGGGTGCCCTGGGGCCCTCCTTTAAAACTGTTCTGCCCTCAAGGTCCTGGCATTCTGCAAGCCTGGCCTGTGATGGGAGTGTTGTGGGTTTTTTTTTTTTGAAACAGAGTCTCATTTTGTTGCCCTAGGTAGAGTGCTGTGGTGTCATAGCTCACAGCAACCTCAAACTCTTGGGCTCAAGAGACCCTCTTGCCTCAGCCTCCTGAGTAGCTGGGACTATAGGCACCTGCCACAACGTCTGGCTATTTCTTTTTTTTTTAACATACAGATGGGTCTCACTCTTGATCAGGCTGGTCTTGAACTCCTGAGCTCAAGCAATCCACCCTCCTCAGCCTCCCAGAATGCTAGGATTACAGGCATGAGCCACTGTGCCCAGCCAAGAGTGGCAGTCTTGAAGATCTCTGTAATACCTTCGGAGTCATTCTTCCATTCTCCACATGAATAGCATCTGGTTTCCTTCTGTCCACACCAACCTCCTTATCAAACACACTTGATGTTCTTTCCTAACATGATTTTTCATTCTTAACATGGCCAGGCTGACAATTTTCCAAAATGCTAATTTCTGCTTCTATTTTGATTAAAAATTCTATCTTCAATTTTTTTCTTTTCCTCTTGCATTTTACTACAAACAGTCCAGAGAAGCCATAATTCACCCTCAACACTCTGCTTAAGGATTTCCTCCATCAAATATTCTATTTCTTTTTTCTTTCTTTCTTTCTTTCTTTCTTTCTTTCTTTCTTTCTTTCTTTTTTTGAGACAGAGTCTCACTCTATCACCCTTGGTAGAGTGCTGTGGTATCATCATAACTCACAGACAGCAACCTTAGTCTCTTGGGCTCAAGAGAGCTTTAGACTCTCAAGTAGCTGGGACTACAAGCCTCCACTCCAATACCCAGCTAGTTTCTCTATTTTTAGTAGAGATGGGTGTCTCACTCTATTTTTAGTAGAGATAGGGTCTCACTCTTGCTCAGGCTCAAACTCCTGAGCTCAAGCAATCCTTCCTCCCTTGGTCTCCCAGAGTGCTAGGATTAAAGATATGAGCCACTGTGCTTGGCTATGAATTGTGTCTTAATAAAGATGTTAAAATAAAAATTTTTTTGAAACAGAGTCTTATTTTGTTGCCCTTGGTAGAGTGCGATGGCATCATAGCTCACAGCAACCTCAAATTCTTAGGCTCAAGGGATCTTCTTGCCTCAGCCTCCTGAGTAGCTGGAATTATAGGCACCTGCCACAACGTCTGGCTACTTCTTTTAGAGATGGTGTTGCACTCTTCTTCAGGCTGGTCTCGAACTCCTGAGCTTAAGCAATCCACCACCTCGGCCTTCCAGAGTGCTAGGATTATGGGCATGAGCCATGGTATCCAGTCTATCCAATTTCCTTGCTCTTAAGTTCTTCCACAAAACACTAAGACATAAACACAATTCAGCCAAGTTGTTTGTCACCTTATACAAAAATGAGGATGACCTTTCCTCCAGTTTCCAATACCCTCTTATCTAAGACCTTATCAGAATGGCTTTTACTGCCCATTTTTCTGCCCACATTTGATCATAACTACTTAATTGATCTCTAAGAAGATTGAGGCTTTTCTACAGCTCTCCTCTTTTTCTGGGCCCTCATCAGAACCGTATGAATGGTTCCTTTCATGGCAATATCTCACAACTCTTCCAGCCTCTGCCCACTACCTGGTTCCAAGGCTGCTTCCAAAGTTTTAGTTGTTTGTTTTAGCAGCACCCCACTTCTCAGTACCAATTTCTATCTTAGTCCATTCAAGCCACTAAACAAAATACCTGAGACTGGGCAATTTATAAATAATAGAAATTTTTTTCTAGGCTTGGTGCCTGTAGCTCAGTGAGTAGGGCGCTGGCCACATACACCAAAAGTGGTAGGTTTGAGGCCAGCCTGGGCCTGCTAAAACAACAATGTCAATTGCAACCAAAAAATAGCTGGGCGTGTGGCAGACACCTGTAGTCTCAGCTACTCGGGAGGCTGAGACAAGAGAATCACTTAAGCCCAAAAGTTGGATGTTGCTGTGAGCTGTGATGCCATCGCACTCCACTGAGGGCAACACAGTGAGACTCTGTCTCAAAAAAAAAGAATAATAATAATAAGGTGCATTGTTAGAGCTTGGAGTTTAGGCCACTGATTGGCTGGTGAACTCACAAGTGTAGGCAAGTTTTTCACTAACTTGAAAGTGAGAGGCAAGTTTTTCACTAACAGCACAAGGGTCTCTGGTCCAATGAGTGGAGTTTGATAGTAATCCCTGCTACAAGTATAATGTTAATGCATAACAACATTGAGAATGTTGACGAAAACTTTAAAAGTGGTCTGTTTTCTCCTGCCTTTCTCTGTATTTCTCGCTCTGCCCTGGCATTACTTGGCTTTTCTGTTTTCAGACTAACTTGATGAATCCTGCTATAAGATTGTTAAAAGGGGGCTCACTCAGTAGGTCTGATGTGGTGGATGCTGGCCTGGGAAGTTCTCTGCATGCTTGGCACCATCTCCTGTGAACACCCGTGGGAGGTCATGCCAGATCTCTATTTCTACAGAGATCGTGAGGAGATTGAAAAGGAAGAGCAGACTGCTGCTGAGAAAACTGTGACCAAGGAGGAATTTCAGGGTGAATGGACTGCTCCAGCTCCTGAGTTTACTGCTACTCAACCAGAGGTTGCAGACTGGTCAGAAGGCCTGCAGGTGCCTTCTGTGCCTATTCAGCAGGTCCACACTGAAGACTGGAGAGCCCAGCCTGCCACTGAAGACTGGTCTGCAGCTCCCACTGCTCAGGCCACTGAATGGGTAGGAACAACCACTGAGTGGTCTTCCACAAGCTCTTAAACAAGATGGAAATAAAGTAGGAGGAAAATAAACATTAGTTTAAAAAAAAGAAAGAAAGAAAGAAATTTTTTTTCTGGAGATTGGAAAGACCAAGATTCAAGGCACCAGCAGATTCAGTGTCTGGTAAGGGCTTGCCCTCTGTTTCTAAGATGACACCTTTTTGTTGTGTCCTCACATGACAGAAGGGCAAAAAGGGACATAGTTACTCCTTCGAGCCCTTTCATGAGGACACTAAGCCCATCCATGAAGGTAGAAACCTCATTGCCTAATCATGTTCCAAAGGCCTCACCTCTTAATACCATCACCTTGAGATTTAAGTTCCAATGTATGAATGTTGAAGGAACACACACATTCAAACCATAATAAACATATATTTTTTTCTGTTTGAGAAGTAGAAGGCTGAGAAGGCTACAAAGTGAAGTAAGCCCCAGAGATTTTAGGATGTCAGGGGCTCAAACAGGAAAAAGGGCTGGGCATAGTGATTCACATCTCTAATCCCAGCAATTTTGGAGGCTGAGGTGAAAGGATCACTTAAGCCCAAGAGTTTGAGGTTGCTGTGACCTGTGACACTATAGCACTCTACCGAGGGCTAGTAGTAAGACACTGTCTCAAAAAAAAAAAAAATAAATAAAGTTCTCACTGTGGCCTCCACAGCCTTAACCTGTCAGAGATCTCATTCCCTCTCTGACCTCATGCCCCTCTGGCTCCCTCCTCTCCAGTCACTGCTGCCCTGGACTTTGATCGTTCCAGCACACCTGTTCATTTGCTTGGAATGCTCTTTTCCAAGAAAGCCTCATGCATGTCTTGTTCCCTCACCTCCTTTAGGTCTTTGGTTACGGCTCCTCAGCACTTACAGCTTCATACTATATTACCTAATTTACTTATTCATCCAGTTTATTGTCCCTCTTCCCTATTAGAATGCAAAATCCACAGGGGCAGTATTATTACATTTGTTGGTCAGGGCCGTAACTGCAGGATCTAGAGCAGTGCCTGGAGAATAGTAGGTGCTAAGTAAATATTTAATGAATGGCTCAATGTTTGGAGTTGCCCTTCCCCCTGCAAATAGCTAAGAGGCATTTGCTTTTGATGGTCTAGGTCCTTAGAATCAAAAAGCTGTATTGTCCAAAAGGGAGAGGTGGAAGAGGGTGAAAGAAGAGGGGTGGATTCTCAGGGTCTAGGCCTTGTGAATGACTCTGCTTCTGTTGGCAAAGGAGAGTAGCATCTGCAGTTCTCTAGGCCTGAAGAGGCCGGCCTAGAGTCAGGCCTAGAAGTATAGAGGTCTGGAGACAGAATCTCAAACCTTTGACTTTAGAGGCTGCAAAGGAGGTCCCAGTGACCAAGCTGGGCATGAAGCGAGATCCCTTGCATAGAACCATTCTTTAGAATGCTATAGGCAGCTTGGACAATGAGCATCCCAGTAGCTACCAAGACGGGGCAAATCAAAGACCCTCTAATTTTTGAAATACACATTCACTGCTCTGCACCCGTAGCACAGTGGTTACGGCACCGACCACATATACTGAGGCTGGCAGGTTCGAACCCAGCCCAGGCCAGCTAAAGAACAATAACAACTGCAACAAAAAAATAACTGGGTGTTGTGGCGGGTGCCTATAGTCCCAGCTCCTTGGGAGGCTGAGAAAAGAGAATCACTTAAGCCCAAGAGTTTGAGGTTGTTGTGAGCTGTGAC